CTAAAACCACAGAGCAGATAGCAAGTGGGTAAGCTAGCGTTAACACCCAGTGGTCTTGTGTCACATCTGGGCTCTTGAACACTCACATGAATGCTACTTAGTATTAACAGTAAGCTCAATAAATATCAGATGACTGATTGTACTTAATAAATGGCTATACTTAAATAATATTCTGATTGAAAATCCAGTAGTCATTTAAATTTAGAACTTTATAATGACAATGATGGAGTATTCCTTTCTTCTCAATATAAATTCTCTTCCTACTTCTCTGTTCTGTGGAATAGTTGCTGCATTTTACAAGATTTGTGTATAAACCATTTTTAAACCAACTTGAATAGAAAAAGGTAAGATATCAAATTTATAATCTGTCACTTATTTTTCTATAAAAACTTACTTGCTTCCTTATTAACTTGTCCAAAAAGGAGAGATGCTTCTTATTGTGCTCCTATACAGACTATAGGATATGCCCATTCTTTTGCTCTATTTCTCTTTTTAGAAAAATGCAATAAATTTGATAGTAAATTGAAGATAGCACCATATTGTATTCAGAATGCAAAAAAGAATATATCTAGCTTTATGTTGTCTATTTGCTGAATACTATCTAATAAATTGAGTTGTACATTTTTGAATGGAAAAGCAAGAAATAAATATGAAGCTTAAATAGCTTTTTTATTTGCAGGTAAAGTAGGTAACCACCACATATATACCATACATATTATGGTATATACACATATAATACATGTATATGTATGCATATATGTGTGCATATGTATATGTATATACATATACATACACGGACAGTCCCCACTTTATGAAGTTCAATTTAAAATTATTCAATTTTATGACAGGTTTATCAGGATGTAACCCCATAATAAGTCGAGGAGTAACTGGATTTACAATGATGTAACATAATGTTTTTTTTAAAAAACACAGACAGTGACAAGACCTGTGTACTGTTTATATCTATAAGGGAGAAGGCAGGAGAATCACAAAACATCTGACTGATATTCACTGAAAAACACAGCCAGTAGGTTTGGGAATGGCAGCTAACCCTGGAGCAGGTTTTATCCACTTTGAGAAAGAATGGATCCAGGGGGTCTGCGAGGCTGGAGCAGACTGTGAATTCTCAAAATTGGTCCTTCAGGATGCCCTTCCAAGACAGCAGCCCACATTCAAACACAAAACAAAATGTAAAACAAAAACCAAATATAAACACTGCCAAAAGTGAAATCAAGTCGAATCCAAGTGATAGAGGGGGACTTGAGCCAGGAAATATCAAAAAGCAAGTCATTTGATTTTTTTTAGATTTATACAGATTGTATAAACATTTATACTCTTTTTGGATTTTGACCTTAATCATATAACTTTAATCATGTCATTTTAGAACCTCAGTCTCCTGATTTGCAAAATGGCAGGAACACAATAGATCATCTCTGTGGTTTCTCTACAGATATCTGACTTTAGAGTCTATGCCTGTATTTTTTAAAATTTCAGAATCATTGAGATAAAAATTTTAAATTTGTGAGTGGAAATGAGGGAAGGTAGATTATACATATGACATATATATTACATGTGTATATACATATATGTTATATATTGTATCCATATATGATAGTATATACAGATGCTCCTTGACTTTTGATTGGGCTATGTCCCAATAAAAGCATCATAAGTAGGAAATGCATTTAATAACCCAATAAACCTATCATAAAGTAAAAGAAATTAAGTTCATAGTATGACTACAATTTATAATAGTTTACTATATAAAATTAATATATAGTTTCAAATAGCTAGACGGAGGATATTGAATGTTTTCAACAGAAAGAAATGTTAAATGTTTGAAAAGATGTTATGTTAATTACCCTGATCTGATCACTATACATTGTATGCATCAGAAAATCATTTGGTACCCCATGAATATGTATAATTATTATTTGTCAATTTAAAAATAAATTTAAAATAAAAAAAAACATTGTCACATCAATGTAAATCCAAGTACTCCTCGATTTATGGGGTTACATCCTGATAAACACATCATAAAATTGAAGAATTTTAAATTGAACCTCATAAATTGGGGACTGTCTGTGTGTCTGGGTGAAGATACCCCTTATTAGCTAGCAACCTCTTCCCACCACCTCCCCATTCCATCAGTCCTAAGCAAAGACTAATCTACTTCCTGACCCTATACATTTTCCTATTCTACACATTTCTCTAAATGAGAATATACAATATTTTTTGTGTGCATGTGTGTGACTGGTAGAATGTCACAGAAATAAAACTAAGTCATTTTTAAAACTCTTCATCTCAAATGGGGAACAGCAAAAATTCCATTATAAATTTTGCTATAACCTGTTTGCATCTGATTTTAAGTTGATGTCCTAATAAAGGGCAATAATGTACCATATGACATGTTAATAATAATAATAATTGTAACAATAAAATGTGATATTAACATAAATTTCATTATGTGTCAAGATTATTCTAACAACCTCACATATACTAACATTTACTATTCACAGAAACTTATAACGGGAGTCCTATTTTTATCACCTGAGATTTATTCATGAGGAAACTGAGGTAAATCAAAATGAAGAAACTTACCCAAGCTAAGTGACAGAGCCAGACGCCCAAGACGTTTGACTCAAGACTCCTTGTTTTTAACCAATATGATAAAGTGCCTCTCTGACTTTTAGGTATTTTGCCCAATACCATTCTCTTCTTCTAAACTGGCAAAAGTAGAAAACAACTTAAGATAACTTACACTCTAAGCTCCTTCTCATTACCCATGTTACATAGTCCTGATATTTTATTGGCACATCATTTAAAACGAAGGGAATTTTAAAAATTATTTTTAGTTCCATTCATAGTCTTTCAAACTTTCCCATAAGGTTTTTTTTAATGCTTTCTATCTTAATTATAAAAAATATGAAAATCTTCATTATTTGTAGAAGGCTGGGATATTAAAAAAACAATGGCTGCTTCTTCCTAAAATGTATCCAGTATGCAATTGATCATATTCAACTATAATTGACAGCACGATGCCTCTTTATATGATGACGTAGGGAAAATAACTATAGACTTAAAAGTAGTTTATCACTACATATAAAATATTACATTATAACTTAGCTGAGTGTTGGCCTGAGTCAAACAAAATTAATTATAATCACTTAAATTCTCCTAGGACTTTAAGACAAGGAAGAAAAGAAATGGTGAAAACTTCTACACGAAACCGGGCAAAGCTAGAATAATAACTCTCAGTTCCCTTCTGTCCTGAATCAACCCTTCTAGGAATCATTCTGCTTCTCTTGAGAGGAAAGGAATTTCTCTTCTTTAAGAAAAGCTTCTTTCTTTATAAAATCTAAGAAAAAGTATTGAGGAATTTTTTCCTTTTTAAGTTGCCAAAATAATTTCTAGATTGAGTTACTAATCATAATAGAAATTCGACATATTACTAGGAAAAGTTACAAGGGAAGAGTTACAAGGAAGCACAATTTCACATCTCAGATTCCTTTTTCGCAATTATATGTGCAGAACCTCATTTTCTTTTGTTCAATCACTCTCTTCCAAACATCTTCAAGCTCAAATTCTGTCTCCCACATGACAGAGATACCTGGAGACCTGAGCTCCCTAGATCACATGGGACACATGAATTCTGATTTTACATAACATATGAGCAGCTGAGAAGCAGCTACCTTTTCTGGAAACATGAGCGGGAGGTGGGGATGAAGCTTTAAAGCATTTCTTTTTAAGCTGAACTCTTTGAAACAGCACTGCTCATAAAAAGAGCAGATGCTGTAACACCACCAAAAACCATCGTCACATTTTTGAACTGCCTCAGTGAAATGATATTTTAATATGAGAGCAACAATAAAACTAAACAGCATTCAGGTTTAGCTCTTTGGTCTCAGAGGCTTGCTGCCAAGAGAATCAGTGTAGAAAACCACAGAAGGCATATCTTTCACTGGCAGAAGATTTCACACAGCACTGTTTTGGAAACCAAATGGGATAATTCTCTGAAAGAACTTTGCAAACTGTGAAATTGTACAAATGTATTTATAATTATTTTTGACATTTTCTGGATAGTTCTGTAAAGAGACTCTAAGTGTAGTAATACTTCACATTTGGAAACATGATAAATGATAGCAAACTTTCTTTCAAGTTACAGTTCACAAGCTGGAGTAGCATTTTTAAACCCCCTATGCCTAGCTTGAATTCACATTCTGCTTGAATTTCACCTGGTTGAATTTATTTCTCATCTGTGCACTAACTGCCAGCTTTCTAGCCCTTTTTTACTATTTTATTTTTAATTGATTCAAATTAGATAAATGCATGTTAACATTGTAAATTATATGGAAAAATAATTTCAACGGAGAACACTTCTACATGTTAGAAAGCAGACGGTATGAAACAAAGAGGGGAGTTACTTGTGCAATTGAAAGATGGAGAAGGTATTGCTGTGGTCTGAACATTAAACACTACCTACCCCAGTCAATTCGTATGTTGAAATCCTAACCTCAAGGTGTTGGTGTTGGGAGGTGGGGTCTTTTGAAATGAAAGGTGATTAGGTAATGAGAACAGAGTGCTCATGAAAGGAATTAGTGTTTTTATAAAATAGGCCCAAAGGAGCTCATTTGCCCTTTCCGCATGTAAGGACACAACAAGAAGATGCCATCTATGAACCACAAAACAAACCCTCGCCCGATGTTGAATTTGCCAATGCCTTGATCTTGGACTTCCCAGCCTCCAGAACTGTGACAAATAAATTTCTGTTATTTATAAGCTACCCAGTTTATGGCAATTTGTTATAGCAGCCAAAACAGACTAAGACAGGTATTGTCTCTTAACATGTAATTGTAAGTTCACTATTATGAAATTATACCTTTCAACTGATTTGTGTATACAAAATATATAACAGTAGAATATTTTATAAATGTATAACAAAAATAAAATAGCTAGATTATAAATGTGCTTCCAAATAGAAGTGCTTTCTGGAAACTTACTGGTTGTGCAGTTTTTAAACTCAATATCATCAATTGCAGCTCCTCCTCCCAGATCCCTTGTTCTGATGCCTTGAAATATGATTTCAAAATTCCTTAACTTTCCTAGCAGGATGTCAGCCTTTTGCCAGTGATCACTAGGGTTCTGGTTACTTTCTTCCCATACTTTTGTTAGTCCTTTCTCTGTCTGAAAGTAAAAAAGTTTATATTAGGGAAGTAATGAAACAAAAAAGAAGAAGAAGAAGAAAAAAAACAATCATTTAGGATAGAAAAATTTGACCAATGAAAACTGAAAAATATTGGAACTCTGAATAATATCCATGATATAGTTTATCTCACCAAAACAGAGGTGTATTAATTTACTAAAGTATTTCCCAGAAGTAATACTAACAGGATTAGTAAAATTAGGATTAGTGGTATTTTCAGAGACATCATTATTATAAAGTATCCTACTAAGTTAAATCCACCTCTCTTTGCACATACACAAAATTCTTGATATTTGATGGAATTTGAACAGTTTACTGAAGCCCTGGGTTCACAGTTCTGGACGCTTCTACCTACTGTATCTTCTACTCATATTCTTTAATTATTGAGGTTTTACGTTCCTTTGAAGAGCTTAAATCACTGACACCAGGGAAGAGAAAAGAGAGATGAAAAGGAAGAATAGGTAGGAGAAATCACTTATCCCTGCTGGGTATGACAAACAAATTGAGCATAAAGAGAAAGCATAATTTCTAAGATTAGTCAGATTTTAAAAATTCTATTATTATATAATCATATTATTTTGATTTTCAAAAATTCTAGTATGGCTACTGTATGAGTAATAATAATTGTTCCTATACAAAATTCTTCAGTTGAAAAGGGAAAATTAATTTTCTAGAAAACTTACATAACTATCTCCTGAATCTGTCTTAGTCAATTTATAGTATAATGTTTTAATATATAAACAGTCCCAGTGTAATATGACATGACATATAAAATTAATACAGCACATATAACCAAATAAAAATGATACCTACATTGAAACATCATATAGGCCAGGTGTGGTAGCTCACACCTGTAATCCTAGTACTCTGAGAAGCTGATGCGGGAAGATCCCTTGAGGTCTGGAGTTTGAGACCAGCCTGAGCAGGAGTGAGACCCCATCCATACTGAAAATAGAAAAAATGAGCCAGGCATGGTGATACATGCCTGTAGTCCCAGCTACTTGGGAGGCTGAGGCAGGAGGATCACTTGAGCCCAGGAGTTACATCACAGGACTCTAGTCCAGGCAACAGAGCAAGACTCTAAAGAAAGAAAGAAAGGAAGGAAAGGAAAAAGGAAAAAGGATATAGGAAAAAGGAAAAAGGAAAGGAAAGGAAAAGAGAAATAGCATATAAGCCAGCTGAGCACATAAGGCTTAGATTGTTAGATTGTATACACTATTCTTTTTATTTTAGGTCTAGCCTTTTCTGAGAACAAGATGATTTCAAAAACATAATGATGGATATTTAGCAAAGAAATATGTGTGTGTGTGTATATATATATACATATATAGCATTATGTTTATGATTAGCCCCCAAGTAATTAATACCCTTTAATATCCCTCTGTCCTGAGTCATTGTGTTTTCATGATGAATTCACAAGAAAAACTTTGTCTCTGAAGCTTGTAAACAAAACAGTAGAGAATAGAGGGAGTATTTAGGGGCATGACATCCAGAAAATCACGTAAGATCTTCCAACAGATTCATAGCACACAGCTATGATATACATAGTTTACAGATATTTTAAAGAATAAAGGCTAAGAGAAGAAGAAACTCACTCCAAGAGGGGATCCAAAGAGTTAGACATCCATAGTTTCATACTTTTAGGGAACTAATGTTAATAAATATGGCCAATGTCTTATTCTGCAGAGAGAAGCATGGATGTTTAAGTGGTTCTTCCTCTGTGTGGTTATGGAAAGTGCAACTACACATCAGTTAATCTAAAATTAACTTTGCAAACCAATTAATAGTTCATAGATAGATCTTTCAACATCCTTTCCAAAACAACAACAAATCTTTCTAGCCAGAGAATTGTGTAGCTTCTGTACTGAAGGGGAGGGGAAACTCACACCTGATTAATGGAATTCCATCTTTCTGATGACTACAGAAGTCCTTTTCCAGGTTAGTTTTTTTTACCCTCAGTGATGTCTTAGTAATTTGGGATCAAAGAGATGATTAGTTAAATTAAAAATTAAATAGATTTGGGATCTCTCTGACACTTAGCAATATAAGAACCTGAGTATTGATAAAAGCTTGTCTTCATTTACAGACTTAATTCACTTTATTAACATTTCCTTTTAATCTGCCTGTACAGGTTACAAAATCACTTATTACCTATGTCAAGATCCCAAAGGATTTGCAACAAATACCATCAAAGAAGGTCATGTGATCACTTTAATCAATAAAATATGAACCATTTCTTAAATCTTACAACTGGGTTTCTAGTAAAAAAAAAAAAAGAGAGACTTAAATAATCTATTCCCTGTCATTTTATGTCATAGAAAATGAAGGTGAATTCTTTTCAAAACCAACCAAGGATCAACCTAATGATGGGGTATTGAAGAATACCCTTCTAGTATGTTTGCTATTGTCCTACTTTGGATGTAACATCAAATATTATCCCTATAATTATTAGAAATATTTATACAAATGTGCAGCAGAGATTTATTTATTTACTCGTCCATTCCCCTTCATTCTATTTATTCAGCAAACATCTGATGCTCACACAGTACCAAATACTATATTAAATGCCAACGATATAAGCTAAAGAGACAGGGAACCTACCATGTGAAGAAAATACTCTAACATAGGAGAGAGCCATAAAAATAAATTACTATAAAGTCGTACATATACAAATATATATATACACAGAACAACTTAAAAAAGTGGTGATGTAGTTAATACCAATTGTTTCCACATAGATTATAGCTTTATTTATTTACTTAATATTCTGATCTGATTTCAATTCTTTCTAAATTGAAAAAGAAAAAATCTCTTGCTTCCAACTCATGGCTTTACTACCATCCAAGTCTTTACCTTTTGCATATATGTTTGTGTTAAACTCGAGACCTCAAGGAAATAAATATGTGAAAAGTGATTAAATGCACTAACACTAATAAAAAATAAATGTTAATACAAAATGTTTAAATTTATAGAATCTGAAGAAATACTCTTTCCATACTTTAACCTTTTTCCCAACTAACAATTTATTTCTTATAAAATATACATATTGACTCTTTGTCTTATATATTTGCATACTTGTTTTGCAGTATGTACACCTTCATACTTTATACCAGTCTTTTCCTTTGGGGTCATGAAGAAACAGAGTAAGAAATACTACAAATTTAGAGATACTTCAAATTGTACGGACATATTAATAGATTCACTTGGAATTTCAGTTTAATATGTTTGAGGTAAATATATAAATTTTCCCCAAATTATTTGCCAATTTTCCCCAAATCATTTGATCAATACTTCTCTTTTTCAACTGATATCTTTATCATATTTTAAATCTGTTTCTAGACTTCCTATATCAGTCTTAGATCTCTCTACCCTCCATCGATATCATACTTTTTGAGTCATTATATTCTTTTCTTCTGGGAATTTTTGGATAGACTTAATTTTCCATATAACTCCTACTAAGAACAGCTAAAACCTTTGGACATTATATATAATTATATACAATTACACAGAAATGTAAGGTGACTCTGAAAAGTGAAGAGAAGAAGGTAAGACTAGCTAGGGACTTCAGAGCTCAAGGAACCACAAAGTGATGAGTTGCCTAAGATTCCTCCCTCCATCATATATCCCAAAATGCACATGAGACCCTATCAACCTGGGAACTGCAACAGGTACACACTTCTCTCTACCACCAAAGGACCAGGAAAAGGGAAGTCTAGAAAGAAAGAAAATGCTTGGACAATAACTGCTCTACAACAGTCAAACACTACTGAAAAGCGAATCTGATTTTCAACCCCTAGTTGCAAAGGCTGAGTGAGGAGCCCAGACTTCCATCCACACTGGGCTGTAGCAAGGTCCCAAAGACCTCTCCCCCAGGACTTTCTCAGGTGAAAGGAAATCCAAGAGAATTTGTCCCCAGGAGACCTCCTCTAAATGAATGGTTGAAGTAACTTTATTAAATAGAAACTAAATACTAGAAGAAATCTTGGAACATCAGAAAGACAGAACACAGCAAAAATAGTAGTAAATATGATAGATTTTTCTTCTCTTCTTGGATTTTCTGGATTATATCTGATGGTTGAGGCAAAATTTAAACAATATATAACATGGTTATAAATGTAGATACAGAATATAATTAAAGGCTACATATTTTAAATGGAGGAGGGTATTTTTTTCTACATAACTAGGTCTTAATATTGTATTTTAATAGGTAATATTTTCTTCCTCCCTAAATATTTTGTTCTTCTGATTTTCCTCATACATTCATTCTTACAAATAAATCTTAGAACAATTTAGCAAATAATTGAAATATTTAAATATTGATTTATTTTACCTTGAGATATCATTTATTTTTCAACTTGTTCAGGTTAATTTCTATGCCACTTAATAAAAGGGTTTTTTTTTTTTGTAGATAAGTTACACAGTTATAAATTTATTCTGGATATATTACAATGTGTGCCACAATGATGAATGGGATATGTCACTGTTACTTTTTTCTGGGGATTGATAATACTGTCAGGATGGCAAACTAGCAATGGCTGCTGGTTCCCTCACCCAATATCAAATCTGGAAGATTATAGAAACTACTGGGAGGAAGGGATTTCAGAAACATCAAAAGGAAAACAAATAAACAAAGAAATAAACAGAAACTGAGAAATACCTGGAAAGTCTAAAGATACCAATATCTTGAGTGGTGGAAGACACCAGCTAAAAATAGCAGTAAGCATGTAGACTGTAGGAGAGCTCCTGTACATTTGAGTCTTTCTCCTCCTTTGCCTTGAAATAATGATTTCAAGGAATATAGAATAATTTCAAGGAATATAGAATAATTTCAAAGAATACAGAAATCATCAGAACAGCTTCAGGTTGTAGTAAGTACGAAATACAAAGGCAGATAAAAACCATATTGATGTGGAGAGCTGATGAGTTCACTCTTCTCATCCAATCCCTCTTCAAATTCTTGGGAACATGGATTAGAATCTAC